TGTGTGAAAAAATTGTCTTCTTCTCATCCTGGATCTCAAAATTCCAACAAACTTATTGGTAAATCAAGTTATAAAGCGATTAACTTAAGACAATGATAATATCCCTATTTGCTATAGAAGAAGTTACAGACAAGCCAGGGAGAAGAGATTCTATATATAAGTTTATAGAAGAGATTCTATATATACGTTTATACAAGCTTTCGGCCAAGACAACCTTCTATGGTGAAGCTCTCCTACGACTTGCATTTCTTCTTTTATAAAGAGATTACCTATTTAGAAGAAGCATTTAGGAATTATTCTCAAATTATAAACATCTTAGGAAAAAATGGCAATAATTTGAATTAAAATTTGAAAAATTTAGATTGCCCTCTTTTCCTTGTTGTTGTTTCTTATCCCCTTGAGTAAAGATTAAGAATTCCATGGGCCCACGCTCCTTGAGCTGTTTGATGATAAGCAGCGGCCTCTCCCAATGGTCCTGTTTAGTGCCCTCTTTCCCTTGTTGTTGTTTCTTATCCCCTTGTGTAAAGATTACAAGAATTCCATGAGCCCATGCTCCTCAAGCTGTTTTATGATAAACAGCGGCCTCTCCCAATGGTCCTGTTTAGTGCCCTCTTTCCCTTAAAAATATTTGGATATCTTTTAGGTTTCAAGAATGCTATATTTTATTATTTTTATTTAGGAATTCTTGTCAGCATTTGATTGCTGTTCTTTATTTTTGCCGACTTTAGTCGAAAGTTGTGACTCTTTTTTTTTTTGTTGGAAATAAGGAAATCATCAATTACTTTTCTAAAGTAACAATGGTAACACGGTAAAAGTAATTCTAAAAGATAATTCTTTTTCTTATATAGGTATTATGCATCGCTTTTGGGAATTGAACGGCTGAACTATGTCCATTTTGATAAACAATTTTAAGCTGTTGCTTACCAATTGAAAATTGAACAAATCAAAGAATAAAATCAATATTTATTGGTAAAAATACCAATTTAAACAAATTTATCTCAATTGAGCCAATCAAACGTCGACTGTGGACCATTCAAGAATCAACAGTTTGCCAATCAAACGTCGACTGTGTACCAATCAAACGTCGACTGTGGACCAATCAAACGTCGACTGAGGACCATTCAAGAATCAACAGTTTGCCAATCAAACGTCGACTGTGTACCAATTAACGTCCACTGTGGACCAATCAAACGTCGACTGTGGTCCATTCAAGAATCAACAATGAACCAATCCAACGTCGACTGTGGAACAATCCAACGTCGACTGTGAACCAATCAAACGTCGACTGTGGACCATTCAAGAATCAACAATGAACCAATCCAACGTCGATTCAAAAAAGCAAACATTCGTATCAACCAGTCTAATATTGACTGAACCAAAAAATGTCAATTCAACTCGCCAACTGAACAAATCAATCTCATCAACTGTGACCAATTAAATGTCGATTGAAACAACAAACGGTTGGATCAACCAATAAGGTATTGACTGAACCAATTAAATGCTGAATCGACCAATCAAATACCTGAAACACCAAGTAATATTCGATAAATCAGAATTCAGTGACATCGTCTGGTAAACCTTCAATTTCCATCACCTGCCAATGACCCTCCTGTAATATACGTCAACGGCCAAAGACTGAATTTGAAATCTTCTCAACAAACCAAGTGTTGATGATCTATACATGGTTCGATGACCCCAGAAAACATAGGTTGAAGCAAATGGTTAAATAATTCAATAGATTTTATAAATATGAACGATCAAACTTGGTCGTTTAAATGGATCTATCTCAACATGAAATAACAGGCGTTAGACCCCTGCCGTAAATGGAAACTGCTGAATACATGGGCGGTACAATAATGTTTATTGACAAATCAATAGAAATAATCCAACACTTAGCGGCTGTTCTCAGGTAATACTTTCTCTTTCTCGTTCTGTTCTTGTTTCTCTTACAACTAGTAGGACCTGCTTGTTCTGTTCTTGTTTCCTCTGTAGTTGGAGGTCTAGAGAAGAAGAGCTTTCGGGAGATAAAACGAATGTATAGATGATCTTGTCTTTTTATTCTGATAATATCATTCTTGTTTTTTATTCACATTCTAAGGTATCATCTTCTTGTTTTCTACTTTGCCAATGTTACTGTATTGACTCATCCATTGATGAGCTCTACTCTTCCCCGGCAGACACTATCAAAAGTCTCAAGCTTTACAAGCGTGATACCTTAGTGTGATTGAGCGGAGATAAGAAAGAAGAAGAAGATGTTACAAAAATAATCTTTTAAAAATCTTTGAGAGTGTAGCCGATTAAAAAAATATGAAATATAACTAATTTATATAATAAAAAAGAAATGTTAGATTGTGATTGTAAGAATAGATTGTAATTATGACTGTTGAAAGGCTGCTACACCTCAAAACTTGTATTGACGTGATAAAAAGAGACTTGTCTCTCAGCGAAAAAATCTTTTATTTATAATTTTACTTAAAGAATTATAATTCATTTTTATTGTGTTTGTTTTAATAAAGGAATGTATATAAATAACAAGTTATATATACAGTAAAACCTACCTGTAAAGGACAACACCTAATTGCAAAGCCAAAGTGTCCTTTACAGAGAAGTATCCTCTTACCGGAG